TTACAAATACATTCATGGTAATTGCTCCCATGAGCTGCTTGCGCTAGTTCCCAGCCTTCATGAATTCAAGCGCGCTACGAGGCTGGCATCCCGCTCTCACACTTTCACTGTCGAAACTCCTAAATGTAGCCGTCTCTTCTACTCCAATAGCTTCATGTCTCGCACCTCTCGCCTGTGGAACTCCCTTCCTTGTTCCAGTTTCCTTGAGAGCTATAATCTCCAACTATTCAAATGTAATGTCAATCGATATCTCTAATTGTCTTGATCTATCCACTACCCTTCTCCTCATCCTTTCCTCTGTCTCTCCTATCTGATCTTGCTCCAAATCTTCAGTAACCCCTTGCGTCTTAGTGGATTCCCGCCTTGCTTGGGGTGAAACGCTTAAAAAAACAAAACAAAACAAAACAAAAAACAAGTGCAGAATTAGATTATGGGCGGAAAATCAATTAAACTACTACTTTTACTTTAACATCACAAAGGTAGTTGTGTAAGTTATATGATGTAGTAAATGAAAACTGATTTCTTAATAAATATTTAGTGGTTGCAGTAGAACTCGAGCAGATAGAAGTGACGGCTTGGCTAAAGCTTCGGTTCTTGATGGAATTAGTGAAACAATACAAGGTCAATGAGAGCATAGTTTTAGGCTTTTCAGAAGTAAATTTATAGATCTCTTTAAATTGTTATCTACCCTCATATCGACACCGTATGGACATGATTTTTGTAAGTTCTTAATAAAAATGGCTTCCAAACATTGACTATTCACAAGTGCCTTCATAGACCAACCTTAGTAAAATAATTTGATGATTTTGTAACCAGAGATGCAATTACCTGGAAAGTTTGTGTAGTAATCCCCTATGCCACACATTGTCAAAAGGGGTTCAGATATCTAAAATAATCGCTCTGGTAATGAGGCTACATATGATTCTAGGTGACTACAGTTAAAACATCATCAGTGGACCCAGAGATATGATTCCTATACTGTTTGTCGCTCAGGTTGTTGTTAAGGCGATCGACTATCTACTTGTTGGTAACAGACTTAAAGCATTTGCTAATAATACTAAGGAAGAGCGATATTGCGATAGACAAACGCTTACAAAATAAGAAAATACCAGACAACATCAACCGACTTCAGAAACATTAAAGAATTTTGCCATGTTGGAGAAAATTCTTTGCTGAGGTTCTTAATTATAACAGCAGTGACTGTATCTGGTTTGGGAGATGTTGTAGAATCTAGAAAATTCGCTATTCGAGATCACAATGTTTGTGCTATGTGATAGAAGAAAATACAGATTGCGGATAGTCGTCTAGCGTGATGTTTCGTAAGGGTCATTGCAAAAAGTTTTAGTCATATCTGATGAAGGTGTTACGTATATTATTACCGATTTTCCAGAAGTACTTTTTTGGGGGGACGAATGATTCATATAATATAAATTGAACTGCATTACATATATGATTTTAAAAGAACTGATCCGACGTGCAAATTTTTGGGATAACAGCTGCGACATTACTCTATTTATTGAACAATTTAGTTCATGCCACATTGAATGAAAAACTCCTACAACAAAAAATTCTCAAATTACCATATTAGTAAAAAAAAAGCACTCTCTTAAATTTTCAAACAAATTCAATCTTAGCGTTGCGACTGCACGCTCTAAAATTTCTTATCCGTTAATAATAACACATTTAAAAAAAAAAAAAACATATTTCGATTAACATTTAATCTTTCGTGTCCCGCTACTACCTTGATTTACTAAAAAAAGAAATTAATTTCCATGCCTGAGGATGGCTGTAAGTACAGCTGAAAGTACTAGCAAAATAAGAAAAAAACCTTAGACAACTTGAAGTTATTAAAATCAAGGATCGTAACATTCATCGAGATGTTCGTGGCTTAATGTAACTTTTAATAAATTTGCTTGCGAAGATGTTTTTTCGCCTTTTATATCATTAACTTTACTAATCTACTTTTTGTATGAATGATTCATGTAATATATATATATATATATATATATATATATATATATATATATATATATATATATATATTATGAAATAAATGGAGCGCCTAATCAGATATGGGTATCCACTAAAATAATATTATAAATATATATATATATATATATATATATATATATATATATATATATATATATATATATATATATATATTTGCTTTTCATATGCAGGATTTTGTACATCACTCATTATATGTCTGCACATATTATGCATTCTTGCTTATTTTTATAGCCGATCAAAATATACGAACATTGAGATTTCAAATATTTTCTGTCTGAATTACATATGAAGATAGCTTTTCTTAATTTTATATCTTACTAGAAAAAGCCACCCGCAACCTTCTACCCCAGAATTCCCTCTCGTCTTTCCAGGTGACCGAGTCTTTCATTCACTGGTCTATTCTTATTCATGTCCTTCGCCCTTTCGGAGCCAGACTCCATTCTCAAGGGCCCAATAGCTCCATTCCCAACCCAGCCATAGAAACTCAGTTTTCTTCATTTCCTAGCGCCTTTTTGATCAAACCTAATTCCGACTGAATCAGCCTTTTCTTTGACTAGCAGAACCAGTCGGGAATACTTATTACGAGATTACTCCTGCTGAAAGAACACCAGGATTCCCTTGGGGTTACTGGTATAGCTACCCGGGTCAGCATCAGTGCCAGCAACCATTAATGTCATCATTTCGGCTGTCATTTCAACGCATCTCTATCCGTTCACCATCGTTTTGGCTACCTATCTGATTTCCTCCGTGGATAGGGTTTGGGTCGAACAAAGAGAATTTCGTATAGTGATTAAGCATCAATATTGGTCAAATCCACAGAGGATAAATAAAAAGTAAAGACAGAAAAAAGGTGTGGTCAGTAGAATTTAAAATGGCTGCGATGCGACTAACTAGTTATCAGTAATTATTTTGATGTTATCTATTTACTTACCTATCTCAGTATATTTATTTAATAAGTTCAGCCTTGGTCGGGTGGGGGTTGTTAAAGATAACCACGGGGAATCATAATTGTGTCACAAGCGATTGGAAGAAGAGATTGATAAGCAGTAAGTGCTTCTATCTAATTCAATATATTTCTACCTATTTTTTTTATTCAGCTTCAAAAAAACTTTCTTTTCCTTCCTTCTATCTTTATATATATATATATATATATATATATATATATATATATATATATGTGTGTGTGTGTGTGTGTGTGTGTGTGTGTGTACGTACGTACGTTTTTACAGGAAAGTATTATCTAGATACTTGAAAATATATTCGTTGGAATAAAGTTTGCTCTATACTCACCATTACATATGCATGGACACATACAGACAAACACACACGTACACATACTACACTTCACAAACACACACACACACACACATATATATATATATATATATATATATATATGTGTGTGTGTATGTATGTGTGTGTGTGTCTTTAACTATTAGATAGGCTTATATTAATATATATATATATATATATATATATATATATATATATATATATATATATATATTGACTTTTTTAGCCTGGATTATTCCTTATACACGTTTAATTTTGTTGTTTTCCACACATACTACTGGGTTACAATTTACCTTTTTTCCATTCTCATAAGATTTACAATATATATATATATATATATATATATATATATATATATATGTATGTGTGTGTGTGTGTGTGTGTGTGTGTGTGTGTGTGTGTGTGTATCAACACTCCTCCCCTTCTTGAACAGGTATAGAGACTCATTCTTTGTTTCCTGTTCTGTTTAGGAAAGGGTTCCTGATCTTTTCCTATTCTCCGGCCTCTATATTGGTACTCTTGGGAATCCCTTGTGATATGTGCAGGCTGTGATAACGTCTCTTCATACAGAAGGTACCGGGTTGACAGTTTTCTGGTTGCTGATCCCGGTAAACACTTAAAACAACATATCTGTCCCCACCCGCAATTCAGAAAAAACCTCGTCGGAAATACCTCAATACTTTTCCAAGAAAAGAATAAATACTAACCAAAAATTCTCATTTATATCAAAAAATTGAAACCAAACCTCAATAAAATTAATTACAAATACTCTACAAATATTTCAAAATGTGTACAAAAGATAGTCTTTAAATGTTGATGCTTGTCATTTAATAGTTTTTCACTTTATCTAGTAACTAATCAAGCCCAGAATATTCCTTATAGCATACCTAGTGACCTCCCTTTAAATAGTGTCTGTCAACCAGAGATGAAACAGCGTTCGTGACTCCACATATAAAAATAGTAATCTTCGGATGATCACAACAATTTCTGTCCTTCACAACCATGAACACTAAATACTTACTCCATATTTAACAATACCCTGATGATGACATGCTATGTCGAAAGTTATACATACCAACGCCTGACGAGATGCTTTGATGGGCATCGAAACATGGATGCATTGATGTAGCCGATATATATCTTCGATTCTAATATCCTATAATAAAGAGTATATAGGTACAATGTAGCAGTAATAAAAAAAACTTTCTAAATCGAGCACACCAGAACTCATCCTCTCGACTACTCTTTCTCAAAGAACTTAACAACGTTAAACAAACACTAAGCAACAACGGTTTCCCGAACTAACTTATAGACCAACAAATTAGACTATTCCTACCCAAAGCAAGTAATAACGATAGCGAACACACAGCTAAAAATCACATACACATTTATTACAAAAACCAAATGCATATTAATTACAAACAAGACTTCTCTAAGGCATATTATAAAGAAATATACTACTCCTATTGATCCGAATAAAAAAATCAAACTTATTATCTATTATAAAAAATTTAAGACGGCCAACCTTATCCTGAAAAATAACAACACACCAACTAAGTCAAAATTACAAAGAACGAACATTATCTATGAGTTCAAATGCCCCTTAAGGAACTGTGTTCCTGGTCAAAACGGACTCATAAATAATTACATCGGTTACACAACTACATGCTTATCCAAACGTCTTACGTTACACCTATCTGATCACATCAGAACACATTTAAACACACACTCAGATTTACCCGACACTATTAGGAACATACTAGTAGAAAACACTAATATATTAACTGCATCCACTTGCAAAAAAAGACTAAAAATAATGGAAGCTCTAATAATAAAAAAGAAAAAGCCAACTCTTAACAATATTAAGTATGAACAAAGCCACAATGTGCTAACCGTATTCGGAAACTAAAACATCACTACCACACACTGAACATACACAGAACACACTCTACTAAGCTGATAATTGAACCATCCTTGATAATGGCTAAAGGTATAGCTGAAAGCGCTCGGAAATATAAAACATTCGGACAGTTCTTACACACCCTTTGTCCAGAAAAGAAAGCTCTTGTCAGAACACAAGAAAAATTAAATAAAAAGCTCAACCGTAGTACCTTGTCTGTCGTTTTTAATGAAACATGCATAAAGGAAGGATTGCTGCCTAAATATACAACTATATATATATATATATATATATATATGGTGTATCAAAAATACTTTAACGAACTTTTTGGCGGGGTCTTCATACCAAAACAATGACAAAAGTCCGTATAAACATATGTCCGCAAATTCTTCGCTTTTGATTTATTGAGTGCAATGTTTACGGTGGACGCTGTTAAATGTATAATGCAAGATACAATCAAAAAGTATTTTTACAAATTTTGTTGGGGACCCTCATATCAAAAAAAGGTAAAATGTCTATATAAACATATATCCAAATGCCATCGTTATACCCCAACACAAAAGTCATAACAAATTTTGAAAATGTCTCCACTTGCTTCTACTGTGGGATGCCTGTGTTGACCACTAGGTCTCCGAAGCATTGGCCATTGATAACTTCCTTCAGGGTACTACCTGTTAGGAAGGATTTTATGATCGAGAAGACTCTTCCATTGATTCCCTAACTGGAGAGCTTGTGTAATAAGACTTTGTGACCAACCTTATCGAAAGCTTTTGAGATATCTAGTGCTACGGTCCTCTAGGTGTGTTCGTTGTCAAGAGCCTCACTGATTCTATGAGTGATGGTAATTAGGACGTCGGCAATGGAGCGGATCGTCGTTGAAGTGTTTGTTCTTTTCTTCGTGCTCGACAACCTTCTTATTGATTAAGGCCTCAAAACGCTTGCTGGTGATACTGGTGAGATTGATGGTTACGTATTGGGGGAGGGGAGATCGCAGGCCCACGTTCTTGAAAAGGATAGGAAAACAGCGGTTGAATAATTTTCCTAGGAATGGAGAAAATTCCGGGTTGATGTTCTTAAGGACGACCACTGAAATTTTTTTGGTCAAATGGCTTTTTTAGGGTCAAGGCCTTTCATAAATCTCGAGACATCTCGTGCTGTGATGGTAACATGAGATTTTGCTTAGTGAAATGTGGGGAATGTGGGGAAGAGATGGTCTTTGTCATCTACCGTTGAGTTAGGAGCAAAGATTGAGACGTTATAAACGCAGTCCCTCTAGATAGCTCCTGTAAGACAAGTTGGGAGAATATATGGATCTACCTGACTGTCACCTACAATTACAGATCACACATGAAGTGTAAACAGATGCTGGTGTACCTTGAAGATTCCGATCCGCCCACAAATGTTGTTTGTGTAAATTTGTTATTCCATTTCTTCCAAATCTTGCCTCATCTGTAAGCAAGACTGAAGAGACAAATAGCGGATCAGCAGTTTGTGCAATAAACCATTGTCAAAAGAACCGGCACACATTGAAAATGATACGAGTATAGGAGCTGCACCAAATACCCTCCATGCGCTGTTATGAAATGCTATGGCCACTTGACATGTGCTGATGCTTGGATCGCCACCGACAGCCTGTAGAATGTGTTCTTTGCGGTCAGGCGTACGAGTGGATCTCGGTCTGCCTCGAGCCATAGCTTGTGGTGTCACAGATCCTGTCCCAGAAACGCAGTAAAGTTTAGATGGCTCGGCTGCCTTCAGTCTGGAACTCGCGTCCATTACCATTCTCTCGGCCGTATGTAAAAATCATATGCGCCTGTTCACGATATGAATATACTGCCATTGTTAAACTGAACACTTCCCAGTTAAGTCACTGCTAAACACGTTAAACGTTGACGACAGAGAAGGCTGGAGCGTACAACGGCCGAAACGTTGTGAATATGGCAATGAAGATGGAGATAACAGTCCAAGTAATGTAAATATTGCACGTAATCATAATACCTCATCACAGAGATATAGACAGAAGATGGAGAAGCAACAAATGTACACGAATGACAAATGTAAACTCGTCTACATAGCAACACTACACCATCTGCCGTAAACATTCTTTAAATTTAATAACTCAAAAATTTGCAGACATATGTTTATGTGGGTTTTTGTTCTTGTTTTGAGGTGAGGAAACCACACAGGAAGAGAGCGTGTGAAAATACAAGAGTGGACACACTGTTAATATATATATATATATATATACATACATATATATATATATATATATATATATATATACACACACACAC